ACAGATTATCTCTTGGACAGATGAATTCTTTTTCCTGACAGATAAGTCTGTTACCAGGAAAACAAAATTTGTTATTACATCAAATAAAACTGTTACAAAGTCAATTAGGAAGCAGTAGAGCATGCTTGTTATAGTTTAATGAGACTGCAGCCAATGAAGCGCTGGGTCAGCAGCAGCTAAGTTGGCCACAGCGGATACCTAGCTTCAGGAAGGAATCACGCATGAATCACACCGACCCTGGGAAGGTTCCTTTCCTTGATCTCCAAAAAAACACCGAGAAAGCAAATTGGTTCCCCTCTCATCAGCTGTTCCCTAAAACAGCTGCCCTGTTGACTGTTCCATTGATTTTTTCAGTATCCTATTGCCTTTAACAGTTGTCTGATAGTCTAATTTTTGTGTGATGAGGGCAGAGTCAAAGTATACTCTGGGCACAGTGGAGGAAAGGAGTCAGAAGGAAATAGCTGAATAGAAAGCAATAAGGCAGAAAAATGAATTGATTCTTACCCTGTAGGGATTTCTGGGGGTTTGGAATGCTCCTATAAAAAGTGAAGTCTGATGTACCTCCCAAGTTAGTTTGTGGAGGAAGAATGTTGCCTTCTTGGGAAGTTTAGTGCAGGCTGGAAGAGGGGAAATACTGGCCTGAGAGTCCCATGACCCAAGTTGGTAGTCCCAGTTCTGCCACTAACTGATTTTACGAAAGCCAACTGCTTAACCATTTGGTGGCCTCAATTTTTAATGTTATTTTCCTCCATGTGCAATTTGTTTCAGCAAAATGGAGGCACTCACTATCTCTTGATCCCTTTGGTTGAGGGTGGAAAGAGCATCAGCTTTGGAGTCAGGGGGCATGGGTTCAAATGAACCTCAGACACTTACGTGACCATGGGCAAGTCAGTTAACTTTCTTAGGCCTCAATTTCCTCATCTCTAAAATGAGGCAGTTGAACTAGAAGCCATTTCTAGAGGTGTCAAACATGTGGCCCCTAGACACAGGCCACAACAATCCCAAGTGAGGCTCAAACCTGATTAAAATGTAATTGGAAAATATTTAACAAAATAAATAAAATACTATAAAACATTGATAATGATAATATGTGGTTTTTGAAGTCAATGCAGGGATTCTTATGTCTTATTTTGTAGCCCCCTTTCTATTTGAATTTTTCACCAGTGAAGTAGATGGTTTTTGAAGTCCCTTCCAGCTCTCTGTATATAATCTTCTCCTGCCTCAGGACCTTTGCTTGTGCCATCTTCCAGTTATTTAGTTATCCCATCCTGATGTTTTTTAGATCTTACTAATGTGGCTCCTATCTCCACCAGTAAATCTCACAACTCATCAATACCTTTTCATCCTGTGTGGTCTAGTGGATAGAGCGTAGGAGTCTGGGATAGTTGATAGGATGTCCGCTTGAGTCAGGAAGACTTGAGCTTGAAACTGACCTCAGGCATTTATTAGCTTTTGACACTGGTCAAGAAACTTACTCTATAACCACTCATAAGGATTTGGCTTGATCATCCACACAGATTATGACATGCAGTTGGATGGACAATCCATAGAGCTTGTTTATCATTCTACACAGGAATAGATAATAAAGAGACAATGAATCAGACTCAGAATTGGACAGTAAGTGCTTAATAAATACTTGTTGATTTGACAATGTTTCTTGACACTTGCCCCAAGCATCAGAATTGCTAGTTATGGTTCTTGAGTACTGTATTAAATGCCCTATCTATTTGGTATTACAACACATCTCAAACAGCAAGCCTGGAAAGTGCTGTGTTTTTTAAACTGAATCTGTGATTTTATTGACATAGGTAAGTGCTTTCTCTATATCATATATTTACTTTGAGTAAATAAAATTGATATGTTATGCAGCACCACAGATAGCATGTCTTTGTGGGTAAAAGACCTTTGTAAGCACAGATTTTAAAAATTATTTAGCAGCTACAACGAACAATTGATAGAAGGCTGGGCCTGGAATCAGGAAGATCTGAGGTTCAAATCTGGCCTCAGTCACTAATTTTTTGACCCTAGGCAAGTCACTTAACCTCTCTGCCTCAGTTTCCTTTCCCTTAAAATGGGGATAGTAATATCAAGTACTTATAACATAGTTGGCATTTAATAAACTCTTATTCCCTTTTCCTCCAACAATCTCTTTTATACAGAATAGTGTAAAGTACAGTGAATGATCTGTCTAGTGATTAGCTTAGACCAAGCCATTACTACCCATGTGATCTTGGGACCTAGTGTTCTACTTTGGTCATGGGGGTGTAGGTGGTTTTGAGTTGTCAAAGGCCATGGCAGCGCAGTATAAGCTCTGGTAGGTCCTATCAAGCTAGAAAGGCTTTGGACTCTGTCATTGCAATACAAGGATCAGTCTAATTAAATTCCCTACCTCTGTGCCCTTGGGTGCTTAAGATCTCCTGGCCAGCTTACTGGAAAATGAAGGATTTTATCTTCTGATGCCCTGCACAGATCCAAGTCCAGGATCCAACTCTGATACATCAAGCGATCAGTGATTCATTAGAGTCAATGAATCCATCACTGAAGCAGCTCTCAAGGCCTTTATACCTTGGCAAAAGGTCTTTATGAGCTGCTATGTATCAGCTGTTCATCATCCTAATGACGAGCTTCTTTGAGTTAAGTTAGGTTGGGCTTTCAGCTAGGACTTCATCATAGAGCTAGATAATGAGAGAGCTTGGCCTCAAGCTCAGATCCCCTGACTTTTGAGACCGTACCTTTTCTTCTATGTGATCGATCTAGAAACAAGTACTGATCACAATGACATGAATTTAGAGCTGAAAGTAACCATGTAATCCAACCCCCTTGCTGAGGAAATCAAAGCTCAGAGAAGGGAAAGGACTCACCCAAAGTCAGACGGCTGGGTCATAATTCAAACCCAGGTCCTCTGACTCTAAACACAGTGCTCTTTCCACTACACAGTCCAAGAAGACCCAGAAACAGCCCCCACTTTTCAGAATTTCACATTGGCAAAGACCCCGCCATTCAGTGACTCTCAGACAGGTGATGACGTTGAACACTTGCCTCTGAACTCCACAGCCAAGCCAAAACTTTTGGAAAAGCCCCTCTTGTCCATTGTTGATAATGATAATAGGTAATTTAATACATTGTCTTTTATTGATCCTCGCAACAAACCTGTAGGTAGGGCAAATAGGGTCATCCATTTTTACAGATAAGAAAACTGGGGGTCAAAGGTTACATAGGATCACAATGTGAGGTGCTAAGTGTTAGGGATCTAAATACAAGAAAACAAGCGGGTCTGGAGTTTACATTCCTATAGGGGAAAAAAAACCCATAAAATTTGGGAGGGCTGAGACTGCTGAAAAGTTGGAGCAGTCAAGAGAGTGAGTTGAATCGAGAAGGATATGAGCATGACTAGGACTCCTCAAGAAACAGGAATCCAAGCCAGAGACTCACCAATCAGACTGAGCCGGCCCCTTTGGGGGAGTCCAGGTGAGTGAGGCCGCGGAGGTGGAACAGCGCCAGAATTTGTGTTTGCAGTTAAGGCCTCAGAAGTGTTCAGTGACTTGCCCATTGTAACTCCGTCTGGAGTTCTGACCACCACTATTCTCCTTTTCTGAGGAAGCCATTTGAAGCAACTGCGAGCAAGGTTTGACAGTTCACTTACTTCCTTGAGGAGTAACAAATAGAGTTAGACAGTAAATGTATTGATTGCCCGTCATTTCGGAATCACCCCGCGACAGGAACAAGGGGAGCAGATACACTTTGTTACAGAAAAGCTAGTTTTTTGGGCTAGGAATTACTTAGGCTAATATGATTTGGAGCTGTAGGCTCCTTAGAGATCATCCAAACCCTTCATTTTACTAAGAAAAATGAATCCTAGAGAGCTTAGGAAGTGCCTTGCTCTGGGTCACAGGGTGATCCCACATTCCTTTCCCCATGTCAAGTAAATTCCTTCCCGAATAATTCTCTCAGCACAGAGTAGCACAATGGAAAGACGTACTAGCTTTGGTGATTGAGGTTCTGACCACCTGGAGACAAGTGCAGAGAATCCCAGAGCCAGAACTCCCTGGAGAGTCCTCCACGAGGCTGCCGAACCCTCTCCGTGTGCTCAGTGTGGGCTGGTGGGGGCTTATGCGGTTAACCATGAGCTAATCCGCAGGAGCGGAAAAACGAACTGGTGACTTTTAATGAAACTTCAGGCTCGGGTCCCCAGGGGTCGGCCCTGATTCCTAACACCTTTAGCCCAGCCTCGCGTCTTTCCTCTCCCAGGTGCGGCGGGCACCTCTAGTCCCCGTCCTGACTCAGGGTTCGGAAGCTGCGCCAGCTCCCAGCATGGCTTAGAGGCTGGGCCAGAGGCACGGGGAGATCTGTTCGAGGAGGTGGCTCCGGGACTGCGGCTGCAGAGCTCAGGCTCCTAGACAGCCGCACTGAGCAGGTGGAGAGGGGCCGGGGCCATCCGGCCTCTGTCAAGCCTGGAAGTCGAGGATTTGCTGCGCTTGGGCGGTGCACCTCACGTGGAGTCAGATCACGCCTGCCTACTCCACGCCCCCCTCGCCTTGCCCGACTTGGCCCAGGGAGGGGGAACCCGGAGGAGAAAGAGGAGTGGGGGAGGGGGAACCGGCTTCTCAGAACGCCGTGAGGGGAAGGGATGGGGGACTGTGAGCGTTTATTGGGTTGCCCCCGACCATACTGAGGTGCAGCTGCGCCCACCCCACTGTGAAGGGGGCCTCTGGTTCCTGGGACTCGCTGGCCAGCGGGAGCAACCCAGGGCTGTCATTGGCAATCTCAGGATCTGCTTCCTGGGTTTGCTTTCGTTTTGCCGGGGGCTTCTCCTTTCTCCTCCTTCCCCTGCTCCGCACCCCCGCTTCCATCCACACCAGCTTCCCCCCTCGAGGCAAATACACGGAGGCTACGCGCGTGCTCCGGGGCGCTGGGCGGAGGGCGGCTTCTCAGGTGAATACGAAAAGGGAGGGTAGCGGGGAAAGGGGTGAGAGGTGTTTGTTGCAGGTTGGGGACCGAGTGTGAAGGTAAACAGGGAGGGGGTGGAGAACTGATGCGATGGATCCCCTCGTGACACCCCACTTCCATCCTTTTTCCGGCTCGTAAGACTGCCCTCCTCCACCCTTGCCAGGTGCGAGCATGCGTTCACCGCGAGCTCGGGGTCGAGGTCACTCGTGGGGACTTCATAACCTCCCAGTCCCTGATATTATCTTCTCGCCTCGTCCCCAACATTCAGGTTTCGCGGGAAAGGATGAGTTCTCTCTTCAGCCAGGGAGCCCGGGTGGCTCTTCAGGGCAGGGCCGGCTGCGCCCTCCTGCTCCGGGCTCCCCCTTTGACAGGCACTCAGCTGGTCCGGGTCAGCAGCAGCTCCGGGCCCGCTGGGTCCCATCATGTGCCCTTGGCCTTGAAGAAGCGGGGCTACGACGTCACCAGGAACCCTCATCTCAACAAGGTACCGGAGGGAGAGTGGTGGGGGGGCGGTGATCTGAACACTAAACGGCGGATGGGGCTGGTTGCCCCTGACTCGTAGTATACCGGCCAATTATTGCCCTTATTGCGAGACCCTGAACTTCTCTTCTGTCCCCTTGCACAAGAATCCAGCCTCAGTATCGGACTGTTTTCCTCGTGTGCCTTGTCAGTTGTTATCAGGGCATGACTGTGACTTGATTGGCTGTGTTTAAAAAAAAAAGCCTCATAAATAACGGCTGCTCGGGTGCCTTAGATATGAGGCAGCATGGTGTGAAAAGATTGGGCGTCAGAGCAATTGTACTCCATTGCGACTCTACTCCTGATAAGCTGATAGGATGTAGTAGTCTTAGTTATCATCTAGCCTAATCCTTTTATTTTACAGAAGAAACTGAGGTCCAGAGATGTGGGGATATGAAGTGATTTGGCCAGGATTACATATGTAGTTAAGTAGCAGAGCTGAGATTTCAAACCTAGGTTACTTGGTTATTTATGTGATTTTAAGCAACTTATTTCACTCCATTTATCTACAAAATGAAGGGGTTGGTCTAGAAGTCTTTTAGAGCCCCTTCCAGTTCTAAATCCTGTGACTGATTCGGTAAATGTTAGCCCCGATTGTCACTCAGAGGCTTGGGTCAGAGCTTTGCCTATGATTGTGTGTCCTTGGACAGATCATTTGGATCTCTCTGAGCCTAAGTATCCTCATCTCCAAGAAAGGAAACAGTAATACCTATATTTGTAATATCTATATTATTTGTAACCTATATCTGTCTTTGGGCAGATCAAATGAGATTTCACATGTGGAAAAGCAGTTTGATAATTGCACAATACTATAGAAATGGAAGATAGGTCTTCGTATTGAAAGGTGGTAAGAGAAGAGAGTTGGCACAGTGGATAGAGCCTGGCTTGGAGTCAGGAAGACTATCTTCCTGAGTTCAAATCTGTCCTCAGACACTTAACTAACTGTGTGATCCTAGAAAAGTCACTTAACCCTGTTTGCCTCGGTTTCATGACCTGTTCAAGAAGCTGGTGAAGGAAATGGCAAACCACTCTAGTATCTCTGCCAAGAAAACCCCAAAATGGGGTCATGAAGAGTTGGACACAACTGAACAACAACAACATCAAAAGGAAAGAGAATTTAATTTTGGAGCTAGAAGGGACCTTGATGATCAGCTAGTTCAGAAAGTCCTCATGAAACTCGCAAGTGAGCTCCAAACCAGATAATTAGAAAGTATTTTAAAAAATAAAATAAAAATACAGTACCTGTTTCTATTTGAGTTTGACACCACTGATCTAGTCCAATACTATTCATTTTTACATCTGAGGAAACTGAGGCCCAGAGAAGGGAAGTGACTTGCCCAAAGGTATGCAACCAGTTAGGGGACAAATAGAAGAACTCTGGTCTTGTGATACCCAGTTAGCACTCTGCTCCTATTTTTTTTTTTTGCCTAACCTATTCTCACTCATACGTTTATTTCTGGAAGTCCTGTTAACTACTGGACCTTGGAAGAGTGGATGGTGAGTATTCTGATAGAAAATGATTTTGGCTAATAGTCAGGGGATCTGAGTTCTTGTATTAACCTTTCACCGGTTGTCATATAACCTTGAATTAGTGCTTAACCTGCAAAGCTTCTGGTGAGGCAGTGTAGAGTTATGGAAAATGCCTTGGACTTGGAGTAAGAAGGCGAGTTTGGATGCTGCCTGACTTGGATCGATTCTAGAACCAAGGGCTTGCTGCATTCTGCAACTTTCAGTATGTAGTTTACTCTTTTCTTCTCTTTTAACAAAGTTTAACAAATTAGTCCATTTTGGGGAAGGTTTGGCATCAAATAAGCATGCTAATTTTTTTCCTTGTTTGCAGAAGAAAACTTATTAATCAAAACAAAACAGCTCTTCACTATGCACATGATGTGACCATGTCATCTTTAAAAATTTGTAATTTATTTTTAACTTGATTTCCATATTCTCTTCCTCAAATCCTTCTCCCACCAGTTAAGAATGATACCCCTTATACATGTGAAGTCATTATATATGTGAAGTCATGTAAAACACATTTCTATATTAGCCATGTTACAAAAGTAAAAAGCAAGAAAAAATAAAGTGAGAAAATTGTACTTCAATCTGCACTCAGAGTTTATCAGTTCTCTCTCTGAAGGGGAAGAACATTTTTCATCATAAGTCCTTTGGAATTGTCTTGGATCATTGTCTTGATCAGAGTAGGCAATGTGGCCATATCATTGTGGAAGTATTCCTCCTAATGGAAACTCCTTGTTTTTTTAATTCTTGTTGAGGTCATTATCACATAACTTACTTAAAAGTTCTTGTGGCTATTATGACTTCTTTCGAATCAAGTTTATGTTACCATCCTACTCAAAGGTTCATAATAATTTATAAAATAAAAAAGGTAGTGGAGATTTCCTTAGTGGGGATTATTATAAATTTAAGTCACTGTTTGAGCAAGTGCTTAAACTGAACCAATTTCCTTATCAATAAAATGAGGTTAATGAGACTTGAACTATTTCACAGGAGTGTTGTTAAAAGGATCAAGTGAAGGTGAAAGCTCTTTGAAATGTAAAAAGGACCATATAAGTTCTTACTTATTTATGCTGTTCTTATCCCTAATTGTATATATGCCTGTCATGAGCTGCAATAATGGACAGATCTTTCTTACCCTTTCCCATCCCTTTTCCCACTTGAAAACCTAAAAGGAATCTTCACAAACTGCCAGCCTGTGACTGAATGATGTTTAACTAGAGCTTTTGGTCATCATGTCTGTATTTGACCTGGAGATACATGAGTTGTGGACTACTAACTTTACTTTCTTATGAATTGTTAATAGAATAAATGAATGGATCAAAAGTCTGTATTTTCCCCAGAGTTGTGGTCTCTTTAAAGCATCCTTAGTCCCTATGTTTCTCTGGCTATGGCAAGTCTTCCCCCACCCCTAAACTGGAAATAGAGCTTTATTTGTTAAAACAATGTTTTCATCACATCTTCCTGATTAAGTAACTACTTTGATTTTCCCTGAGTTCTCTTGATCATTAAGGAGGAGTAGAAAGTGCTGAGAATGCCAACATGGGGATGTGTATTTTTAGGGGCTACTCAGGGTGGATCCTGAAGGCTATGAAAGCATTGTTGGCTGGCCTACCTACTTTCTTTAAGTAGGGCTACACGGTCTCAGTAAGTGGTCTAGTGCTGACCTCCTGATCATTTTGTTGGAAATAGACCAAGTTAGTCTTAGAAATCAGCCAAGTAATTGATGGCCTCTGCATTAGGATAGACTGAGGGAACTGGGGCTTCCAAGGCTTCCTTCAGGTCCCAGATAAAATCCCGCATTCTGCAGAAGAGAGTGTCTCCAGTTTATCCTGTCTACATGTGGTTGGTGCATAGTCATTTGCATTTTGTCTCCCCCATTAGACTGTGAGCTCCTTGAGGTCAGGGACCATGTTTTTTACTTTCTTTTTATCTTCAGTACTTATTGAAGTGCCTAACATACAGTAGGTGCTTAACAAATGCTTGCTGATTTGACTTGTTCAGCTCTGAGAAAAGGAGGCCAGGCAGAGAGGCAAATGTGAAACATGGGAAAAACATGAGAGGTTTTGAAACATATGATATGGATCATCTGGTTTGACAATCTACCTAGGTCAGAAAGAGAGGTGTGGAAGTTTAATTGGCCTTCTCCCTATTCCTCCTGTTTCTATGCCTTTGCCCAGGCTGTCCCTCATACTGGACATATACATCCTCCTTACCTCTGGCTAGTTTGTCCAAACCTTAGCTTAAGTTCTCCCAGAAGAAGCCTTTTGCTCATTCCACCCCATTTTCCCCACCAGGAGGTGGCACAGTGGATAGTACATCGGGTCTGGAGTCAAGAAACCCTGAGTTCAAATCCAGGATCAGATAATTAATAGTGTGTGACTTTGGGAAAATCACTTAACCTCTGTCTGCTTCAGTTTCCTCAATCATAAAATGGAAGGTAGAGGTTTTTTTTTTTGAGAGACAATCATGGTTAAGTGACCCTGGGGTCATACAGCTAGTAAATGTCAGAGGTTGCATTTGGACTCAGGTCCTCCTGACTCTAGGACCGGTGCACTATCCACTGTGCTACCTACCTGCCCCCAACCATAAAATAGAAATAATAAAACACCTACCTCCCAGAGTTGTTGTGAGGATCAAATGAGATAACATTTATAAAGGCACTTAGCACAGTGAGTAGCACAGAGCAGGCACTTAATAAATGCTTATTTTCTTCCTTCCTACTACCTGCTAGTGCCTCCCTTCCCCCAAATTACTATATATACATATGTGTGTTCGAATTTCTGTGTTTATATATATACACACATACACACATAGATGGGTATACATATTATATACTTACATATGTGCACATGTTATCTCCCCCTATAGTGAATATTTGAATTTTGCCTTTGTATCCCCAGCATCTCACACAATATTTGGTACATAGTAAGTGCTTGATGCTTGCTGGCCAACTGAATTTCCAGTGAGTAAGAAACTATTGTTAGAGGAAATGGATGATTTGAGGAGTTGTAGATTACAAAGACCATAGTGCAGTTAGGAACTTTATAAATTGTGGAAGGAAAAACTCGGTACTGTTTGACATAATTCTGTTAGAAATAAATGTATTAACCTTCCCCTCTCCCTAACTCCTCTGCTACTGGCAAGGGCACCACCAGTCACCCAGGCTCCCAACCCAGATTTCATGCTTGACTCCTCACTCTCTGTCACCCTCCATATCCAATCAATCACCAAGTTATGTAGTTTTACCTTTGTAGCAACTGTATTACATGCCCCCTTCTTTCATCTGTTGCTGCTACCATGCTGGTGCAGGAAGGCACTCATCACCTCATGCCTGGGCTATAGCAATAGCCTGCTGATTGGTCTGCCTGCCACTAGTCTCTCCCCATTGCAGTACACTCTCCATTTAGCTGTCAATGTGATCTTTCTGAAGTATGGATATGACCATTTCAC